CAGCTTTGTATTATGCATTTAGTGTGCTTTGTTTTGTGACTGGTCATCGAAAGGTAAACACTAGGGATGTGACATTTGTGTTTCTTGGACTCTAACTCCCAGAATTCTCCAGCTATATTTTGGTCACTTGGAGCAGGGCCTAAGTCCTCCAATGCATGGCATTCTAGGTTTTCATTTCCTGCTGCAGTGTTTCCTAGGACAAAGGTGCTGCAATGCTTTTGGGGAGTGATAGTCTTTTGGGAGGCACCCTCTATAGAGCCTAAATGGCAGCAAGACTACATTTCCCAGGAAGCACTGCAGCAGGAAATGAAGGCCTGGAATTCTATGTAGCCTCAGAAGAATAGGGCCTGTTTCAGGTGAGTATAGCTTAGGGATCTGAAGATATCTACAGATGTAGATTTGTGGGCTAGAAGTCCCTGGGGAATTATTAGAGAATTCTGGAAGTTGGGACCCCAAAAATCCAAATAGCACATCCCTAGTAAACACAGCCTTAATATACAAGTCTCATCATCATGGCACATATTTCTGAGGAAACCCAGTTGTAGAAGGAAAAATTGGTTAAGATAAGGAAATATCTAATCCTGTTAATACATAATATGTTGATATCATTCATAACTTTCCCTTTATTATATTTTGGATGGAAGCCATTCATCAGAATCTTCATTCTCCCCATATCATGAACTAAGGCCATGGCCAACACGGTTGTGAGCTAGAGTAAGCGGGTTACCTCTGATGGCAGAGCACTGGAAGGTGAGGGAGTTGGGACTGCTTTTAGATGCTTGTTTTGCTGGAGAGTTGGCCACTCATCATATTGTACCTTGGCCCTGCAGACTTCCTTTGAGCTGGCCATTATTCAAGCAAGACAGCCAAGGAGTGATTGTGTTATGGAAGTAGCAAGTGACTCAGCAAAGCAATAGTCCAACAGCAGTGACAAGCACAACTATCTATCTCACCCTCCTCCTTTTTCTCTTTCCTTCCTCCCTATCTCTATAGGAGCGTTGCCTCATGGATGGTTCCTATCCAGGGCAGTGGAGGAGGGGGGCCTGCACTGAGGCTGAGATTTGTGTCAGTCCCCACACATAGTGGACAGTTTTATACTGCCCCAGGCCCAGTGCTGTTTATTAGGTTTATAATGACTTGGAAGAGGGGACGCTCATCAATTGGCAGATGCACCTGAATCAGCAACATAATATGCCAGCTGAAAAAGCAAATGAAAGTCTAGGTTGCATCAACAGATGTCCTGTGTCCAGATTTCATCTCACTGCTCCATTCTGCTTTGGCTAGGCCTTATTTGCGTCCAGTTCAGTGGGTTAAAATTACAAGAAAAGGGAATCCAAACAAACACTTTCTGGTGGTGTGTGCTATTCAGCAAAAAAAATAAAATAAATAATAAAAAAAAAACTAGACTAACTTGGTGGGTAGTGAGTCTCCTTCATTAGACGGTTTTAATCAAAAGCCAGGGGGCAATATAGCTGGTTGGATAGCTCGGTGGTTTAATTATCTGATTGCAGAGCCAGCGTTTGGAAGTTTGATTCCCCAGAGTGCTTCCTAGGAAAAGATCCAGCCTGTGTAGCCTTGGACAAGCTGCATACTCCCAGGGCTCTCCCAGAAGAAGGAAATGTTACACCACTGAATACTCACCACCCCAAAAACCCTGGAAAGGGGCACCATAAAGTCAGAATTGACTTGACAGCACACAGTTATTGTAAGAGGGCAACATAACAGATATTCCCTGTCCACTCTCATAATTGTAATTCTGGCCAGCTAGTACTAGACATTGCCACCCAATCCTGAGGCTGATCACATGTAATTTGTACAATCTCTGCCAAACTACTAAATCCTCACTTTTTCACAATTCACTTCCTGCCGCTCTACCATGACACTCATTATGCCTAAAGACAAGAAGAATCTTCAGTTTGCCTAGGAAGGAAAAGTATGTTCCTATTGCTGCTAAAAAGGAGCTAAGATGTCTCCCAAAGAGAAGATGAGACCTACTATGGAGATGAGTCACACTTTCCTGAGAACATTAGCTGCTTAACTGCCTATGCTTCCACAGGGCAAAAAGATAATGCACCACACTGTTTAGGAAATACAGGGAGCCAGCTTATGCCAAGTCATATGATTGGTACAGTATTTTCTAATATGGCTGGCTAGAGTTGTCCAGAATCTTCAGAAGAGTTATTTCACAATTTGTGCTACCTGTTCTTCTTAACCAGATTCAACACAGTATCTTCTGCATGTGCTCATTAAATGTGTAGAAATCTGGATCACCATAAAGGCTGTCAATGTGTAATCATTTTCAGAAAGTAGATAAATGAGTTGATGCAGACCAGACAAACTAGAATTCTCTATAATTCTGGCTTACAGTGATGTCTGAATCTACCCACTGGGCAAAATCCAACTGGTGATCCCAACTAGAATAGACCCACCAAATTATTGGAATTTACCTAAGAGTGGGCTTAACAAATCTAATCAGTTGTGTGGCTTTATTCTAGTCAGAATCAACAATGGGGCTTAGTCAACTGCAGTCAAAATCTCAACTTCAGATATAAAGCAGCATTAAATGTTATTTCTTGATTACTGCAAAATGGAGTTGATCCCCAATCCTCAGAAAACATGATGGGCACTTCTGTTTCCCCCCCCCCTAAAACAAAACACATTTGAAAATATTGGAGTAGTATATTTTTTTCATACGCTGAAAACTGTATGCAACCCACATTTTTTGTGTTAGCCATCAGAGTCCACCAGTGTCCCATATGGTTAAAGGTCTGAAGCTTAAGGACTTGCCTTCAGCATCAAACCATCAAGGGGTTAAGGGGTTGACATGCAAGCACAGAAGCGTTGCCTTTGGAATCTGTTCCTTTTGAGAAGGAAACCATGGATTTGGTGTCAAGCAACTGTCATACATATTGCCTGCCTCCTCACTCACTGAATTGAATTTGATGTCTCAATGCAATCATATGCAATTTAAAAATAAGAGGATATTTCAGAATAAGCTTTAACATCAGAGAAATTGCCAGCTCAGTAATCTCTCGGGGGAATCTTCTCCTCATCTTGCCTTCACTTTTGTATTTATTGTTATTTAGCCTTTTTTAAAAACATTACTGAAGAAGATGATAGCAAACAGTACAGCGAGGACTAATGTTTAGCTTGGAGCCCCTCTTCCCACCAGTGAAATACAGAAGCTGTATCTCCACTCAGACAAACATCCACAGCAAAGGACTTCATGGAGGTGTGCTCATTTTTGAAAAGCAGAATGACCTGTTGCAAAATTATATATATTGGAATTAAAATCTTTTTTCACACTCTGTAGGCAGACAGCACATGTACACTGGCATTAAGATCTGCAAGAAGCTTATTTTCAAAAACTACAGCAACAAAACACAGTCCAGCCTAGATTTAAATCCAATGTTATTATTTCCTAGAGAATTACTTAAGTTGATTGAAGATGAAACATCAGACAGTTATTTGCTCCCAGAATCTTTTTTTTAATATGGCTGTATTGTTAATACTGCAGTGCCAGAACCAGTGAAGTAATAAACAGAAATTTTGCTCTGAAGCACAACTTAGAAACCACCTTCTGTGTATTCTCATTTAATAATGCCTTTAAGAAGACTGGTAAAAATGACTGACTGTTCTCGGCAGACATAAAACTGAGAGCTTCCTCTGCTGCTGCAGTATTTTAAATATCACATATATTACACATTCCTACGTACCAAATAAACAAACAACACAGAAGAATTACAAAGAGAATACTGTATAGATAAGATAAAGATATTTAGTGACAGACAAGGAAGCTGGTTTGGGTTTCCTTTGCCTCCTGTTGGCTTTAAAAAGTACCAGGCAAATGTATCTCCCTGTTGCCATTGAAGATCAGTAAGCCTTGAAGTATATCTGTAGTTGCTGCACTTTAATGTTTGTTAGAATATCCACAGAACACACTATTATGTTCTAAGGAAGAGCTTTAATATCTGGGTGCGCACAGCACACACATTGCTAGTCAAATCGCCACATAGCCCTGTCTAATTATTTTCTTACAAGCTTATGACTAATTGGCCAATAGCCTAATTGATTAATCATCTGCTATTCAGAGAGACCTAGGGAAGCGGTGTGAAGGGCAGCAAAATATTTATTCAGGTACAAAAGCTACAACTGATCCGAAACACCCACTAGCACCCACACATGGAACCAAACATGATGGAGTGAAACACGAGGGTGTGTGTGTGTGTGTGTGTGTGTGGAGTCTGAGCCCAGAAATCTAAAACCAGGATGGTTAAAACTCTGTGCCTTTACCTGTCTCATTTTCAGAAGAGCGACAGGAATTTTAAATACACCGCTTTGGGTCTGGCACACAGACATTCAAATGACTCCAAGCTTGCATGGGGAAAAGATCCTACCAGACCCCCAGCAGATTCGCATTTGCATGATAAAATGTACCTGTCCTTGGTTTGTTAACCCTTGTGGCAAATGCAGAAGATAAATGCCTGCCATCAGATTCCAGTCCTTTCCCTGGGATCCCTGCCTTTGCATATAACTTACACCCATCACATACAGCTAGGCGGACAGCAGCTGGGTTTTGATAGCGCAGGGAGGGGAAAAAAGCAAAAAACTTCAGCTCAGATTTCAAGACTGCCTCTGTAATTCCATTGCATCCTTCCATCCCCACCAATGCAAAAGACTGAAAAGTTAACAGGGATGCTGACTGGATTGTCAATGGCACCAATACAGGATGAAATGGTGCATATTGCAAACCCTTCCAGTTCAGAGGGGTTTTCATTTTTCCCTTCATCCCTTCCTAGGATGAACCCAGATCCTTTCCAAAATCTGCATATCATCATCCTAAAGGGAAAAGGACATGCCAAGAACAGACATATAATGTTAACTGCAAAAGAAGGTGTGTGCACATTAGAACCAACTGCAACAGATCAAGAATCACTCCCCTCTTCCAGCCCCTTACTTATGTTATCTTTCAGGCAATCAGAAGAAATGTCTTCTCCTACCTTCAAACAAGGTTGTTTCTTCATCAGCCTCTTACTCATCCTCTTGTTGCAGAGGGAAAGATGTCCCCCCTTCTTTTGTTCCTAAAACAATATGGTCAGTTCTTTTATTTTCTTCTGGAGGTAACCCCCTCTGTGTGTGTGTGTGTCTGTAGGTGCACCAGTCAGCCCATCAATGGGCATAATCAGTAGATCCTCAGAGAGAAGCTCTTGGAAATGGGTATCCTAGTGAGAAAATCCTCAGCAGTTTCAGTTCAGTCAGGGCATCTCCTTCGCAGCAGCAGCAGAAGCAGCAGCAGAAGCAACGGCAGTGCTTCTGGTACTCTGCAGGCCACATCGTTCATACCTTATACATCACTACCATATTCTTTGTAATAGGAGAGCCTAATACAGCATTTCATTGCCTACAGCCCCCAAGCTTCCACCAGGCAGTTGCATTTCTGCATCTGAACCTTCTTAATCATCCCTGCAGTCCTCCATCTCATCAGCAGGCTATTTGTGTCTCAGCAGGAGCAGCAAAAGAAGCATGTTATCACCTGGAGGTTAGACTCACCCTGTTCATTAGGTATGTTATCTTTTCATTTTGGGAAGATGGGGGGGGAGAGAAAGGGGGAGAGGGAAGAAAGACGTCTTGGCTGTGCCTGCGGAAAACGCAAAAAGGGAGTGAAATCCATTCATCACACTGAGGCAAATTCTGCACACACGTTGTTTCCAAAGCACTGGTGGACAGGTGTGTTAGCGGAGATGCTAAAATCACTAACTTTAGCATACACTTCGTATTGAGAGGAAGAAGAAGAAGTAACAAAGCTCTCCAGAGAGGTGTTTACTGAAACCAATATGTTATAACTTGTGCCTTCGGGTGCACTTCAGCATAGCTGGGTCTCAGGGATAAACTAGCAGTTTCTCCGAATGGGAGTTCATACGCAAATATTAAGTGGTCTCGATCCAGATGAGAACTGAAAGAGTGTCCAGTACCTCCCGTTCCCAAACCAGGGGTCTAACCTCAGTCAGGCCTGTGGCCACTGTCTGCTTTTTAAGAAACATGGATACAACTGCAAATTGCACTGAAGAGCCAAGGGCATCAGCCGAGGCCATATTCACTTTGGACCTCACTGCTAGAGGCCAAGGTCCCAAAGTGGTAGTGCATGGGTTGCTAATTTGAAGCAGGTTAGGATTAGAGATGGGCACGGAATGCTGGTTCAGCACAGTTCATTTCCTGACCAAATAGCTGATCCGTGGTTTGTCACTCTACCCCCTCCCATGGACAGCCACTAGTGAACCTGGAGGACGCAGGGCACGACACTGCTAATGATTGGGCATTCAGAGGAGGGAGTGGCGCACAGAACTTCAGATCAGCTGTTTGGCTGGTAAACAAACCATGCCAAACTAGTGACCAAGCGGTTTGTGCCCATCTCTAATTGGGATTAATAAATACTGAATATTTTTGTGCACCTTCTTCCGTTACCTGTGTTTGATGGGTGCTTCTCCCTTGTGTGTGGTTGTGCGCTTGACACTTTCCTCAGTTTTCTTAATCAAAACAAACAGCAAGATGTCCTGGTCACTAAATTTCATTCCAAGATCTCTAACTCCATTTCTATTCCAACTTCCCTTTGTATCCAAGGTCGTATTTCAGCTGAAGCACCAGAGGAATTGGTTCAGATCAACATGATCACCATTACATTCATGTAATGGTGATGTGGATGGTGTTTTCCATTTATACGCCATTCTTTTGCCCAAAGACACCCAGAACAGCTTACACCAAAATACAAAACAATGATTAGACATATAAAAGACATAACAATCAAATAATTAAACACTTCACATAAATGGTAAGAATATAAAAAGAAATTAGCAAAAAATGAAAGCTCACCAAACAATTTCATCTTATATCCATTGCCACATAATGAATGCTTCCATGTGTAAGTGGTAGAAAAGCAATTGAGATAAATTCAAAGGCCTGCCACATGACATCCCATACCCACCTGGTGTGTTCACTGTTGTAGCTCAAGGTGCAAATGGTAGTTGGGGGAGAAAATGATTTCCCTGGGTTCTTGCTTCTGTATAGAGCCTGTGAAGAAGGAGGATTTTTCCCTCTTTGGACACATCACTGCTTGTGTGATGTGTCTGAAGCAGCAAAAAGAGAAGGGAGGGGCAAGTCATTGCTCACTGAGTTTGTTGATGTCAATCCAGTAGGTGAAGACTGAGTGGGGCTAACGATAGGGTATATTCCGACTGGATGTTTATTTCCTTGTATTGATCTGTTTAATATATTTCATTGTTTTTATTTATATTGTAGTTGCAGTCTATTTTATTGTTAAAATGTAGTTTTATGAATTCACTTTAACTAAATACTCAAACTTTATTCAGTCATTGTCTTTCCCAGTAGCATCAATGTGGACAGAGGGAGGAGACTGGCCCTGTCTCTCCCTGTCACTTGCGCACGCAAATGTTGAAGAGTCTGTAGAGAAGAGGTTTCTGTTCATGTGTAAGCTCTCCATGTCAAGAAGAATCCTGGAAAATGTAGAGCCATCACTGCTTTACAGGCTATGATTCCTTAACCCAGTTTTTGGAAATAATCACCAAGCCTGGTAAAACTCACCCACCCAATTTACCACATGGCAACAATTCCAGAAATGAGTGTCACACCAGAATATTTCAGGATATGAACTGTGTGTAAGACCTCCAATTGTGCTCTGGAGATTCTTTTGTATTCTTCAGCATTTTTTTCATATATTTTTTTCATGTTGGATGTCTTTCTTTGGGAGGGGCTATCTGCAGTTTTTTATAAACTTGTCCTTTCATTTTGCAAAAAAAGAGGAACCTCTTTGGGTTTTTCCATTCACATTTTCCAGCACTCCAAAAACCTTAAACAGTCCTTTAAAACTTATCAAAAAGTGTAGACGTAAGGCAACAGAGAGCCAAGCTACTCTAAAAGCAAGCAGCAGTACACAAGAACGAAAAATCATCACTAGACCTATGTCTGGGAGGAACCAGAAAGTAATCTAAAGGAGGTACACTAGCACAGGCAAGTTGCCTGGCAGCAGTAATAAGAATAATCCAAAGAAATTGAAGAAAATCTACCCAAAAAACCAAGAGAAAATAAAGGATCCAAGATGGAGACAAATCTGCAGCTGGTAGTCTGAGATGGAGGGCACTGTGAGCTCAGCACACAGTAATCTCACATGGAATTACTGAAGCAAAGAAAATTCCTCATGTTACCATGGCCTTTTACAGATTCAAAATTCCTGCTTTCCCTGGATGTTATGATTGGCTGCTGACAACCTATACTATTGGATGAAAAAATTCTCAGATGATTTGACAGACAAGGGGCAAAAGAAAGGACACTGAAAAAATAAGTAACACAAAACTACTGTGTACTTCCTTTATTAAACACCAATCATTCATGTTTTAGAGACTGTCTCTGGCAATTACTAGAAAAACACAAATTGCATAAAAGAGAATCTCATTCATGTTTTGGGACTTTTGGTTAAACATGAAAAGACCATTCCTATTCTTCAGTCGCTGTGAGCTTTGTGCAAACATGAAATAGACCCATTGTATACTTCACCAAAAACGCTTGGAGTGCGATACACACACACACACCCAAGACCTTAATTAGCCAGACATGGCATAGTGAGAAAAATAAAAGCCTGTTTGTTACCATGTGTCAAGTGATGCCTTTAGAAGCAAAGCAGGACACTTTCAGTTGCATGTAAAGAATTATGCTAGAAAGAACACAACCTACAGACCAAACTGTTCTTTGCCTCCCTCAAGCCAGATGTGCATGAGAGAAGCCAATTTGTTTCAACAGACACACCAATGAGATTGGAGAGGAAACAAGAAAATTACTGGCACCCATACTGATATATGATACCTCCTCTGTTTTTCTCTTTAATACCAGCAGAGAGGACTTGTTGCCAATTGTGCCCAGCAATTCCAGTTCAGTTTTAGTTTGCACTTTACAGAAATTATCAAAGGTGTTGAACTTATTCAGGGCATAGGGCTCAGTAACTTGGATAGCTCTTATAAAGTGAAGACTAAAACCCAGAGTGGATTCACAGCACCCCAAGAATGGGAGTCGTTAGCTATCACTGTTTGCTGCACAATATTACCAATTGTTCAGGTGCTGCTAATGGCAAGATAGTATCTTTAGTGGGGAAATTCTTTCCTCCATCCCTGCATATGACAAGAGGACCTTGGGACAATGTTAGGGCCAAGTACAGATGCCTGAGTCCTAGTCATGGGTCTCCCCAGCGTGGCTTAGTCCTTGTAGGCTTATTTTGCAGTGTATTTATTTATTGATTGATTGATTTGATTTATATCCCGCTCATCTGATCAAATCGACCACTCTGAGCGGCTAAATAGTAGGCCACTTGGGGGCACAGTGGAAGACAGGAGGGCCTGGCATACTCTGGTCCATGGGATCACGAAGAGTCAGACATGACTAAACAACCTGGGGGGGAGTTTAAATGTGGAATTCGCCACAAGAAGTAGTTTGCTAGCTTGGAAGAATTTTAAAAGAATGTGGATGTATTCATGGAGGATAGGTCTATCGAAGGCATCAAGCAATGATGGATGCATATTCTCTCCAGTAATATGCCTCTGTGTATAAGTCGCTGGGAGGAGGAGGATGCACATCTTTTCCTGCTTCCCATTGACATCTGGTCAGTCACAAGAACGCTGGACAAAATAGGCCTTTGGTCTACTCTACCAGGCCTCTTCTTGTATCTTTTAGATTCAGCCAGGGAAAGGGTGAGCAATCTTCAGGCATCTAGGGGGCACATATACCCATTGGTGGACCATAGAGGCCACACCCTTTCCCATAACTCCTACACCATTTTCCCCCCTTACAAAATGGTCTGTTGTTTTTACTGAGAGTGATCCTTGTACCCTCTTGTGCAAAAATTTGATTTAGTTTCCTCAGTTAAAATGTGGTGCTCCATGGGTCATTTAATATTATGGGTGTTCTTTCCCATAACTCCTACACCATTTTCCCCCCTTACAAAATGGTCTGTTGTTTTTACTGAGAGTGATCCTTGTACCCTCTTGTGCAAAAATTTGATTTAGTTTCCTCAGTTAAAATGTGGTGCTCCATGGGTCATTTAATATTATGGGCCAGGGGATGGGGGTGCTGCCTTTGGGTTGCTTGGACCCAGGACTGAAAAAAATATTGTTTTCCTCTTTAATTCAAATGGAGACTGGGCCAAGCATGAACACTAGGCAGCAGAAAGTAAATTTTATAAATTCAGGCACAACA